TCTCGGCTAGTGACAAACATTCCCTTAAAAATTTTTGGAAGTGTGGCCTTTRTTCATAWCCATGATCCTAAACGTTCAAAACTTGATCCAAAAGCACATAAATGTATTTTTGTAGGCTATCCCACTTATCAAAGAGGTTACAAATGCTTTGATCCAGTTTTGAAAAAGATGCTTGTGTCTATGGATGTCACCTTCTTTGAAGGAACCTCATACTACAGCAGCTCCCATCTTCAGGGGGAGAGCAACACTAGTGAAAATGGTTTTTTATATGGTTCTGATTTAATGTTTGAATTTGTCCATAATGATGTTTCTCACAACCGGTCACCGAAAGAAAGTGAGGCAGAAAATACAAAATTAGTGGAAACAAATGAATTAAATATTGAAAATGTTGAGTCTACCAATGAACAACCTTTGGTAATGCCATCTCAAAATGAAAAAGCTGAAACAACAAAGATGCGTGCGAAACGGTATAAAGGTCTTGTATATTTGAAGGAATATCTAGCACAGAAAAGGAGAGGCACTATTCCGCAGCATCAACAAGAATCTGATCAGAGGTTGGATCATGAAGTTCATGATAATTCTTCAAAAGTTCCTGAAAATATTCCTCCAGGTAATTCTGAGTCAAATTCTTCTAGTCAGCTTGATCTTCCCATTGCTCTTAGGAAAGGTGTTAGGTCTTGTACAAAACATCCTCTGTCAAATTTTGTATCTTACAAAAATATTTCACCTTCATATTGTGCCTTTATTTCACAAGTGTCTAGTGTATCCATTCCTAACAGTATTCAGGAGGTTCTAAATGTTCCTGAGTGGAAAGAAGCTATTTTTGAGGAGATGAGAGCTTTGGAAAAGAATGCTACTTGGGAGAAAGTGGATCTTCCGGATGGGAAGACAGTTGTTGGTTGTAAATGGGTGTTTACTCCGAAGTACAACTCAAGTGGATCCTTGGAGAGATACAAGGCTCGCCTAGTAGCTAAAGGCTTTACTCAGACATATGGAGTGGACTACTCTGAGACCTTTTTCTCTAGTGGCGAAGCTAAATACAGTTCGAGTACTCTTATCTGTTGCAGCTAATCTTGATTGGCCACTGACTAGAGTATGATCACACCTTGATTGGCCACTGACTAGAGTATGATCACACCTGAGTTGTAGAGTATGATCAGATTGTCCTTTTTCACCAAAGACAAGGTCTCAGTTTTGATTGTCTACGTGGATGACATAATCTTGACTAGAGATGATATAGAAGAGATGAGCAGACTGAAGCAGAGCTTAGCCAAGGAATTCGAGATTAAAGACTTAGGCCAGCTAAGGTACTTTCTTGGAATGGAAGTGGCAAGATCAAAGAAGG